GAAACGTTTGAGTGGGCATTGCACAGACACTTTAATTATTTGTATATAGTGTGGAATACTTTATTTTCGCTGGAATTAATTTTCGCTGAAAAGGCTTTTTGGGCGTTTTGTATGGAATTTATTTTCACTGATTTTTGATCAGCTTAATGTGAAATATAGGAAAAAATGTATATTCGCTGGATTTTATTTTCACGGAATCATCCCTTCAGCGAAAATAAATTCCAAGCGAAAATGAAGTATTCTACAGTAGTATTGTTAATTGTTGAGAATTTGTTTGTGAGTAAACTATTGCATTCCAAAACCAATGTAAGTGTGATATCCTAGTTAATTTGGCAATAAATATTTACTTCTTTAATCTGATGAGAACAATTTCAGGATTTAATATAAAGAAGAAGTGTGTGGTTTCCATGGTAACTGCTTGTTTGTTTTTTATAACAATCAATCAAAAATAATCATTCACCTTTTAATGATACATTTCCCCCACGCCAAAAAGTTAACTCAAATATGATTTGTTAATTGGACTAAATAGTAAAAAATTTTTACTGTCTTCAGGGTTTAAAAAAAAAAAATTGACCAGTTACGAGGAAAAAGTCTTGAAACACAAGCACCCACAGAACTCATCATACATCTGTTATTGAATGAATCTTGGCCAGTGATTTTTTATTTATTCTATATTTATGATTGAAAATTTACTTATACTATCGTACTATCAACAGGTCGAGCCTCATTTACAGACTTGGGAAAATGCTCTGTACAAATTGTCTGTAAAAACATCAACTGAACAAAGAACCTGACAATTATTAAAATATATATTTGACCAAAAGTAGAAAATCATGAAATTATCGGCTTAAAATTTAGTACCTTACACGGAATCTACTGTATTGAGTAGATGAACACAAAGACTATGAAACGGCAGTATTACAATTTAGAAATCACATACAATAATAATAATGTATTCCAATTGCACTTTGTGCTGAAAAAAAAAGGTAATTACAGAAACAAAATTACAGAATATAACAATAAGAGGCAGAGTTTTAATTTACACTGGTTTGAATTACGTACATGTACTGCTTTCTCTTCTTAAGAGTAAAACAGATATATTTACTCATGTTGATTACAATATTGGTGTTTGTTTGACATTTCCCTAGGAGACCTATAAATTTCACACTGCAGAAGGAAATGGTATTCGTTTTCAAATGCTGTCAAAGTTGCACATACAGATTACATTTACACGAGGAATATTATCGTATCTACCTTGTTTAAGATTCAGAGCATGGCAAGGTGTATAGAATGATGCCAAGGCACGTTTTAAAAAAAGGGTCCATTGCGATTTGTAGGTAATGTTCTAACGCAAGAGATGTTTTAAAAAGTCACTTATGAAATGCATTGCTTGGGTGGATTCCTTGTTCAAATTGGTCAGGGTCTGATTGCCAATTAGCTCGGTTCAAGCATGATATGTTGACAATTATACCCCAATCGAGTGAAATAATCCCCTAATTTGATGTGAAGACAATGATTTTGTATGCAGACACACACACACAAGGAGAACATGCATGAACACACATCTTATTCAACCTTTTAGCATGTAAGAAACCATGAGAATGCATCAAAATTAACACACAGATCAATGGCTGCCAATACCAGAGGGAGGCTCGTGTAACAGACATTATCAGTACAATATCGTATATATAACAGTCACCCGTGTAGTGTTGATTGCCCCCCAGCACAAGCGTGTGAAGGCATCATGTTCAAAGGCATGCCCTTGATACTGATACTTTCCCTCATGCAGAGTATACCAATGTAGTGTGAATCCATAGAGGAGTTATTTTATGAGTGACCCTACAATACCAGATTTATTAAATGAGGAACAAATAAAAATAAAAATTAATACTGTAACACCAAATTAATAAATCTGATAATTTAGTGTTATTAGTTTGGAATTCTTTTTATTCCAAGTATTCAGTTTGCTAATTCCGAAGGATGAAAACTAACTCAGAGATCTAGTTTGTGAGCATATATAGTCATTTGCATAAACCAATCGTTATGCATGAATGCTGATTACTATTAGTTTATCTTATTGCGATCAAGGGATATTAGTTATTTTTGGAGTCATCATTCTATTTATAGTTTGGGGGATGCATTGGTAACATAATTACTAATTTTGTAGTCAATTCAAACCTTAGCCATTATGCAATCTGTGTGACTAATAGCCACTACACAAAGGTGAAACAAATGTAATGTATGTTCACTGAGAATTTGAGATTGGGAGAATTTAAAATGATGTCTTACATGGCTTTAAATCACACGCACGTTTTAGCTAACAAATATTTGAATTAATATAATTCCTAATAATAATTCAAAAAACATTGTGATCTACAGTATCGCGAAATATTTGCTTATTTCACAATGGTCAGATACGATGTCAAAAGATCAACCTGCTTGCATGACCCAATCAGATTGCTAAGACGTAATTTTTTTAATTTTTTTTTTGGCACAGTATGGAGTTATAGAAAATCATTGATATATGGGATAAATTGCAAAATCCATCAGAATAGAAACTTTGGGGAGGGAGAGGAAGGAAGGAAGCATTGGCAATAAGCGAAATTTTACATAAATTTGGCAAGAAATCCAAACCAGCCATTAATTCCATGAATTAGAAAAACAGGAAATGAGTAAACATTACTGAGCTAGGATCTATATAACTGACACCTCTTAGGTAAATTGAAACAGTAATCAAGTCAAAACTTGAAGCAATAAGCAAGTAGTATATGACATAATGTCTGTAATATGTGATTGAAAATAATGTGATAAATTAATGTTACTACGTTACACGTAATATCATAATATTATATATAATCTATCAATTTTAATAATGCCAACACATATATCCTTTCGATTCAAATTAACATTTGCTTTTAATGGAAGCCATCAATTATTCCAATAATTTCATTTGACACGCATCAAAATTTCATTGTGATGAAATCTGCTGTCAGATTAAAGTTGCTGATATTGTAGATTTTGAAATGTTCCACTGCAAATAAAGCAGCAACATAATAATATACACATGAAAGACAATTACATCAGCAGATTGTACCACCAGTTGGTCATACTGGATTGAGACCATGAAATAGAACATGGTGCACCTACATTTGTACAATCCAATAAGTATTAAATTGTCACATATTAGAGGTATGTAAATGTGTCATGCTACTAGCACTAACCACTCGCACTACGCCCATTTCAACACATTTACATACATGCATGTTAATAAGAATTCAGTCAGTTCGAATTACATGTCTGGGAAAATATTGATGAAGGTATCAGCCTGCACAGGCAATGTACAGATGGCAACCCCAATTTAATGGATCTGTTTAATACTAATGTACAACTGAATGGGAACTAAAATAATCTGATGGCCTTTCTCAGATTGATTGCTTCCCCCACATGACTCCTATTGACAACCATCCAAATTAGTTCAACATATTCTAGAGATATAGTCAACCATATACTAATATATTCTACTATTAGAATACAATTTTCACTTATATAACATTATTGCAATTCTCCCATAAGTGGTCATATACTTACTAACATCAAATTTTAAATGAGATGACTTAATGAACATCAAGATTGCTTACAAAAAGAAACTGCATGTATTGATCCTGTCCAAACTGTTCTGCTTTAATTGATCAAAATTACAACAGATTATATATATATATATATATATATATATATATATATATATATATATATATATATATATATATATTTTATATATATATCAAAGCCTAGGAAGTTACCTGATGCAAGTAAACCTTTGTACATATCTGCATTCAGGAAAATTGTTGCCTACTCCAGCACGAAAACAATTCTGAGTAAATGAGCCAGATATTAGAGTTGTATTTGAGAGTGTGTAAGACACAATCACAATGTAAATGTTAGATTGGCAGATTGTATTTTCTATTGGAAATGTGTTAAACGTGAAAGATTGTTGAGCCACTATATGCTGTTAATGTACCATATGAAGTATTTGCACATACAATTATTTCACACCTAGAGATTCAGGTTTAGGAGAATTTTGTTCAGAAGCATTTAACTCTTGGGTAGAAATTTAACTTCCTTGGCTGACTTGGAAGGAACATGATCCTGCCCACACTGTACACTAATATTACAGCTACTTTAAAGAGCACATACCATGTGATCACCTGGGTCTTATTAGCATAGAGTGAAGCAACAAACATCACAAGTCAATGTCCCTAAAGACAAGTTCAACCATGATGTCAGGATCAACCTGGAATCCATGATGTACTTGGAGTTCAAGGTTGGCAGCGATTATAAATACTCAAATATTCTTGATTGGTATACTCAAACAAGAATATACGTCATAGCCATGCCAAGCGGGACTCTGCCAGCTTACCATGTTATGTTGGAATTTTAAGTGAAGGACTAAAGCCCAGTCAACCGTCATCAAATGGAGCCTGGACTAGCACAGCTGTGTTGTTACCTTCTATCATATTTAAATACTACAGACCTTGATTGTATCACACTTAATGGAAAGCCACAACTTGGGAAGTGACACATGGTTATACTAGTGTATCCCTGTTTAGCCTTGATAGATATCTAATATACACTTATGAACCAAAGCCAGAAAATATTCTTATGCAGTAAAGTAAACAGCTACTCAATTTTTTCAGGGAGAGGGTGTCAATATTGTAGATTACATGCTATGACATGGTTTAAAGCACTTAAAAAAATAAAATTTGTGATTGAACAAAATTCTAAACCCTAAGAAAGTGCTGCATAACCATCTGAACAATATTTTTCTCAACTGTAGCCTGAAATTGATAATGGCTATACCTTTTATGTAAGAAAAGAATTGTTGATGAACACAACATTAATAATGCACAACTTAGAATATAAGATATTCATATGACTTGTTGGACAAAATAGATAATTAGAATATTGTTGTGTATATACGATTGGTTAGTCCATATTCTTACCTTTTGCGCTTTCCGTTTGTCCGCCCTCTGGTTTTGTTGGTAGATTCGGCTAAAGTTGGACACGATGACTGGCACTGGCAAGGCTATGACCAGTACTCCACTAAGTGAACACACACCACCAACAATCTTACCTATAATGGTATTTGGCACCATGTCACCATACCTTTTAAGAAATTTTAAAAAAGAAATTGTTAATATCAATTTTCAAGTGGAACAAAATATAATGACAAGGTAACAAGCATTCAAAGTATGATGACGTACAATGACAGTTTCTGACAGCTGCTTGAAAATCTAGCGGCAATTACAACTATTAAGACATTGACGACGAATGCCTGGTTAATAATTTGCTACTAAAACATCTTGAGACTTCTTTGACTTTTACACTATGGTTTTGTATTATGCTGTTGTTCACAACATGTATGTTTTGCACAAAACATGGATCAAACATCCATAAAAATAATGATATTTATAAAGCAACACACCATTGATTTCCCCTTACACATGTTTACAAACTAATTTGCTCCAAATTAACACAGTTGAAGTTCAAATTTAACAACTAATAACATTTATTTAAAGCCTACAAGTTTCTGCATACTTTTTATACTCACTGTTGCTAAATTACGTTAAAGCAGGGTAGTCGTCACCTGCGCATGCGTCAGATGACCATAGAGTGTTATTGTTTACAAACCAGCGTCTACCCATGAGCCTTTGCTGTTTTAGCGTGTGTTGTTATCATTGCTTGGGACTTAATTCCCGCGTTTGTACAGGTTAGAGCCTCTCACTTTAATTTTTTTTAGATATATTGGTTCATATTTCAGGTTCTCCCATGTTCAACACTGAGGGCGCTTCACAATTTTGATGTCATAAAAGAAAAAAACTGTTCCAGCTGCTAACACTTAGATTAACTAATAACATGCATGCACCAGTACAGGAACCCATTTGTAAATTCATGTACACATTTTACCAAGCCATGACATCATCATCATGACATCATAACTGAACAGCACCCTTAGTGTTCAACATTTGCAATTGTCGCATAAAGCGGTCGATAATAAACACGCGACATGATTTGTTTTCCCAACAATCATCCGCAAGAGTAACAAGACACGTAAATCCTTTCGACGGATAAGTTCAAAATAATTTTCACGAAAAATGACAAAATATATCGGTAATTATAATACAGTAGCATCTGCACAATATGATTGATCTTTTGGATATTTAGTGAGTTATGCAAATAGACTCGTCTAAACGTGTACAGTTATGATAATCATGAGAGGGATACATGATAATATACTTTTATACAATTTTGATTTAACTTTATATATCAAATCAAAACGAAATATTTTGGTTTTAATATATATTTGATGAAAATATTCTATCATGCCGAAAATGTAGCAATCAGGTTTCACTTCGCAACAGACATTGTCAATTTACATATTTCAATCAAATAATTATATCCCTATTTTAGATTCAAATTAACTTTTTGTTTACCTGTGATGGCCTCAATAAACACAGATTTAATTAAAGCTTGTTTTTCAAATATGATTAAAATTGCGTCAATATTGGCAAAAGTTTCGAAGCATTTTATGTGTACACATCTGCATGTTCAATTAGAAATATCAATCAGTCTGACGGCCTTATTAAAGATAAAGACACTTTACTAACACATGAGAATTTCTCTGATATTTTGCACAGCTACTATCAACGACTGACTGTTCTGGAAACAATTATTGTTGATCTTTCAAACTAACTTTTAAATTATTAGCATATTTAGCTGTATTTAACATTTTTATCTTCAAAATGTCCGCCAGAACGAGGTATGAAAAAACTTATATCACCATGGAAACAAGCTAAGAAACCCTCATTGTAACTTCTTGATTCTAACCTATAGTTATACAGTAATATAAATTACTACAACTATTTGAAAATAATATTCATAAATTTTCTGAAATACCTTAATTTGAACTTTTTTGAAATAAAATTGTTTTACATCATTAATTTTTCAAAGATCCTAAAACAAAAATATCTGCTCAAAATAACGCATTTTATTTTAAAATTGTCATAATAATTGGGCTTCATTATTTTTTTTATAATTCTGACAAAAAAAAACTGATGTACACATGATGTTGTAGAATGGTTTTCATTTATTGCCAGTATCCTGTATTTGTGTAGTAGAAAAATATATTAATTTTTCAAACGATATCCGTTTGACCAAAATTTCCTATAACAAGAAGGGCTTTTTATTGAAACACAAAATCATTTGGGAATAAAGAACAAAATATTTAATATGAACACAAGCATAAGGATCTAAAAAGATTGAGACATATCAACCGAGTTTGAGGGCTGCGACACATCGCAGACAAATAACAAATAAACCGTAACTGTTACATAAATCAGCGGACAGCGGGTTGTTTGGAATACCAATGCGATAAACACATGAAGAACTTGCAGTTCCTGGCATACATAATGCATTATGTAATTTAATGCAGGCGCCAAACGTTTCAGGAAAAACACTCGCCACAAAGACAAATCAACAACATAGACTGGGGAAATGAAGTCTACAGAACAGGATGGATTGGTAATTTAAAGTGCATTTTTTTTCTATCTTAAAGAATAATTCACAGGTAATTGATTAAGGTGAAGAGAGGAGCATTTTGTGTTCAAATTCTCACAGGCTGTAAACATTATCACTGAAGGCAAGAATCATAGTGACGTCAATCATCGTAGAGAAATTGACAATTAGAGCTCATCAAAATGAAGACTGGGCTGAAACGTGGTCACTAGCATTGATTGCAATCCCACAATGAATCATTTGAGTCCTAGTCATCGATGACTGGAGAACCCTTTAAAAGATAGTAATTGTTTTTCAATGGCAACAAAATATTACTTTACAAAATAGAAACTGGAATCTATTCCAGCTTGATGGAGAGTGTCTTTAGCATGTGTGATGGTTTCTGATATTCTAATATTATTTATTAAAGTAGCAGTCTCACATTCTCACAAAATATTTTGTTTGAACGTAACACCCGTAGACACCCACACGAACTAACACAATATTTTTCTAAGACTATCTACATCCAACATATGACCCTAATACAGGAACTCTAATTCACATAGGGTCCTGCAGAAACAAGGAAAATCGGAAAATCAGTTTTTATACATAAATCACAAATGAAATAGAGGTGATATAAATACACAAAAATGAAACTATATATAATTTAATGGACAGCAATGCATGCATGCCACGTGTTGAAATCAAAGCACGTAGAGAATATTTAAGTCACCAGCTGTAACAATTTTCCCGATGAAACTCTACTTCACTCTTTCATATCTGTGTGTATTTCACTTGAAGATTTCAGAATAAGAGCATACATATGTATAACCTGTTTGTAGACACTCAACCGCCAATGGTCTCTCCTATTTTTAGATTCATCTACGTGCATGCGTGCGTGTGTTGTGTGTGAGTGTGTGTGTGAGCGAGACAGACATAATCAGAAATGGTATTCAGAAAACGAGTGGCTCAATTATCAAATACTTAAGAAAAATGCATCTCATTTAGAGCGGCAATATTTTCGTATTTCATGCTTATCATCTTGCCAAGAGTAAAACTGTCGTCATCAGACGTCTGAATGAGTATACACATCAGATGAAAGTTGATCGGTGTATTACAAATATTTAATTCCGCAGATATCTTCTACAAGTATTATTTAATTTGCCAGAATTGTTTGATAGAGATACTTATTATATGCTGATACGTGTAGGTTTCACATCCCAATTAGATATTTCTGTCACGCGAGGGGTCACATATACACCCACGAATGTAACCCACTACACTGTGTAAACAACTTTTTGCAATGGATGGCATGCTTATTTCAAACTGTTTTATTTCATATGATACCAGAATAACCAAGGATTAGAAATTGCGAGTGGAATTTTAGCGATAACCAGCTGGTTTTGAAATGGCAGGCTGATTCATTTAAAGTGAGTAGCCAGCTGGGTCAACGTTTTCCAATATTGCCAATACAAGTGTAGTTGAATCGGCTTTACTTTGCAGCTCTTATGAACATCTGTGGTGATGCTGTTGGGAACTTGATGCAATCATTCTCCGAGTAAAGTAGACCCACTCATCAAGTTTTCACATTTTAATTCCATAAATATCATCAAGAAGTATTTTTTAATTTGACAGAATTGTTTGTATAGGGATACTCTAACTAATACACTAATATGTTACATCACTCTAACAATTATAAGAGTCAACAGTGCAAGTAATATGCATGTACATGGTGTATAATAGAAAATTGAAAACAAGTTTTTTTAATACCACACAGCGCTGTGACTGAATATTTTTGTCACCAATCTATGCTCATCATCGCATGGGATGTCACCTTTAAAAATAATGCAGGAAATTAACGTTGGACCAAGACTGAATGATATTGTGTAGGATCGATAGTTTTGACAACCAACAGGTCCTTTTGACAGATATAAGACAAATTTACATGGACCTGCAGTTTCAGAGTAATAACCGGTCCTTCTAATGTAAGAGAGACATATTACAAATTCAAAACATATTCTATTTTTTTAACATCTTTTGCAGTGTTATCAATCAGGAGATATATTACATTAACTTGCCCCAAACAGTCATCACTCAGCTTTATTATATTACTATTAAATGCAGATGTAAATGTATACATATTTATACATAAAAATTTTACAATAATCATTTAATCTGCATAATTATTATTCACCCACCTGCTATTTATTCATTACAGTTATGTTATTTTATTTAATAAAGTGCCATAATATATTTATTGTAGCTCAACGTAATTTTATTTTCTCTCAACATATGTAGCATATGTTAAATTATTGATGACGTAAGGACATGGGACACTACTAGTACTATAGTCCAAGCTAATTTTAAGGTTCTCATTATGATCACTATTCTCACTGATCTTATTCATATTTTATTTATTGTATTTTTTGTAATTATGTCATTTCTGATGAAAATAAATAAGAATAACTATACATCCTGTCCGAACTCTCACAAATAAATGTAACAGTCACAACACAAATACAGATTCCATCAGAATGGATGCACAATAAATAGAAACTGGGAATTTTAACTAATTTTGAAAGGTGACTATACTGTGATAGAGAAACTATACG